AAGAAGACACAAGACTGTCAGGGAGTGTGTGTGGGGCAGACACAGGAGGAGAGGGTGGGAGGAGTAGCAGAACCAACTTTCTCTCTCCTCTCCAGCCTGTGGTGCTGGCCACCAGAGGAGCATACAGGAGCCCAAGGCAGCAGGAGATGGATAGGAGGGGTGGCTGGGTGGCACATAGAGGAACCGGTCTGTGCATTTCTCTCCTGCCACCGCTGAATGCCTGCAGGAGGGAGAGGAGGAGAAGCAGGCATTCAGTGGCAAATGCCCGGGGTGCCCTATGGCACTGATCCAGGGCATTTTCTACACCTAGTGACCACAGTCCACTGGCTCTTTGCTTAGAAAATTTGGAGACCCCTGGTCTAGAGCAGGGGTCTCCAAACTTTCTTAAGAGTTGGGATTCTTGCAGAGCCTTGACTGGCTCTGTACCATCAACCGACAGCGAGCTTTAGTGCACCATTGGATTAATCTGGGTCAAGGGAGTGCAGAAATAAGTGCACTGCTGTGACCCACATGAGAAGTAAAGCCAAAAAAGCTTTGGCTCTACTTCTCTTTCAACTTTGCAGTTACCCCATTATACTCACAAATAGTATCTGCCAAACTAATGGAGAATAAACACAATAGTGATCTTCAAAGAGCCAAGGATTCATTAATGTCTTAATAGGAGCATTTAGAGAATCAGCTTAATGATCTGTAAATATCATTTCAAAAAAAGAAAAAAATGTGGAAAAATACATTTACGGAAAAATATGTTACAAAATAGACAATAAACAACAGTATAATAAGCGAGATTAAGAGTGAAAAGTACTTACCGTAAAAAGGTTTTCCAGGATTTTGCTGGGTCCAGTTCAACAGGTGTATCAGAGTCAATGGCTCTCATGAATAGCTCTCAGCATTTGGGCATACAGTAGTTTTCATCAAAACTGAGAACTGTAAAATGCCAATTACAGTAGCTTTTTGTGGACCCTCTAAAGCGTGTCACGGAATCAAGCCTCAGTCAATCAAGAAAGCTGTAACTTTTAAAAGTTTTCATCCCTCGCTGTAGCACAAACATGTGATTTAAATGTAAACATTTTGTCGCAGACTTATGAATATTGGCAGAATGTGGATGTGGAGGGCCAGTTGCTTTGGGCACCGTGATGTCATGTGAGGTGGGGGGTGCTAGGAGGGGTGTTTTTTTGGTGGGGGTCATTTGACCTGGGGGTAATGAAGGATGGGGGGTGGCAATGATTTGTGCTGGAAGGGGGGATTTCAGCAGAGGGGTGGATTTGTACTGGGAAGAGGGGAAATTTATGTTTAGGGGGAAGTCATGTAGATTAGTGCTCAATGTATTTGGAGGGGGGGGATTTTTGCTGGCACATAAGGCTCATACATCCTGGGGGCTCAGTTTGGTATGTTCGCCCTGGGCTTCAGATGACCTTGTCCTGGCACTGATTACACCCGGCATACAGGACAGGAGAAGTGGGACTGTGCAGAATCCACTCACACAGAATAGGATCAGATGCCAAGAATTACACCCGGCATCCAGGACAGGAGAAGTGGGACTGCGTAGAGTCCATACATACAGAATAGGAACAGATACCGAGAATTACACCCAGCACACAGGACAGAAGTGGGACTGTGCAGAGTCTATTCATACAGAATAAGAACAGATACTGAGGATCACACCCTGCATACAGGACAGAAGAAATGGGACTGTGCAGAGTCCATACATACAGATGGTTACAGTTTTGTTACCTTGTAATTTGTTTTTTATACAAATAAAAATATTCATACATACAGAATAAGAACAGATCCCGAGAATTACACCCGGCATCCAGGACAAGAGAAGTGGGACTGTGCAGAGTCCATACATACAGAATAAAAACAGATCCCGAGCAGGGTTGGACTGACCATTTGGAAACTCGGGCACTGCCCGAGGGCCCAGGGTCAGTAGAGGTCCCCATGAGATGCCCCTGGTACCTTTTTCATAGGCTTTTAGAGTTTGGGCAAGGACACGGGGGCCCCATGATCCCCTATTGCTCGGGGGCCCCATGAATTGTCAGTCTGCCCCTGATCCCAAGAATTACACCCAGCATCCAGGACAGGAGAAGTGGGACTGCGTAGAGTCCAATAATACAGAATAGGAACAGATACCGAGAATTACACCAGGCACACAGGACAGAAGTGGGACTGTGCAGAGTCCATTCATACAGAATAAGAACAGATACCGAGAATTACACCGGCATCCAGGACAGGAGAAGTGGGACTGTGCAGAGTCCATACATAAGGACAGATACTGAGAAGTGGGACAAAAGTGGGACTGTGCAGAGTCCATACATACAGAATAAGAACAGATCCCGAGAATTACAGCCGGCATCCAGGACAGGAGAAGTGGGACTGTGCAGAGTCCATACATACAGAATAGGAACAGATACCGAGAATTACACCCAGCATCCAGGACAGGAGAAGTGGGACTGTGCAGAGTCCATACATACAGAATAGGAACATATACCGAGAAATTCACCCGGCATCCAGGACAGAAGTGGGACTGTGCAGAGTCCATACATACAGAAGAAAGAACAGGTACCGAGAATTACACCCGGCATCCGGGACAGGAGAAGTGGGACTGTGCAGAGGGTGTGGTTTCCTGTGGAGCAGCTGCAGGCTGTGTGGTGCTGACCTCCTCTGATGTCTGATACAAGCCCAGGGTTGGGCTGCCCTGGGCTGGGACGCCTCCCAGGAGAGTCCCAGGCTTCTCGGCCTGCTCATCATCGGAGGTGAAGCTGTGGTTGGTGTGTGAAGCGGGAGGACGGAGTTCAGTGAATGGAAAGCAAATGGCAGAGACTGTGAGTAGATGTGGGAATGTTGGTGATGGAAAGTCCAGTGTGAGAAGTTCTGTTAATACAGAGAAGATGAAGTCAGTCCAGCAGTGTGAGAATGTCTCTCAGCAAAAGTGTGAGTTCTGGAAGTGCAGCACATGGCAGTCCGCCATTGCAGCCACAGCATGCCCAGCAGAGAAGGGCCCAGTCAGTTCAGTCCAAACAGCAATGTAATGTTGTCACCAAGCAAACTCCAAGCTCTGGAGGAGCAGCTCAAGGCAGTCAGCCATTGCAACCACAGCAGGCCCAAGCCGTGCAGAGCGGAGCCCATGCCGTGCAGAGCGGGGCCCATCTAGTTCAGTCTAAACAGCAATGTAAGGCTGTCACCAAGCAAACTCCAAGTTCTGGAGGAGCAACCCAAGACAGTCCGCCATTACAGGCACAACAAGCCAAGCAGAGGAGGAAAGTTCAGTCTGTCCAGCAATGTGATGTTGTTACCCAGCCTAGTCCAAGCCTTGGAGGTCCACTCCGGGCAGTCCACCATTACAGGCACCGCAAGCCCAGCATAGCAAAACCCATGCCGTGCAGAGCGGGGCCCATGCCATGCAGAGCGGGGCCCATGCCGTGCAGAGCAGGGGCCCATCCAGTTCAGCCTAAACAGCAATGTAATGTTGTCACCCAGCGCACTCCAAGCTCTGGAAGTGCAACCCAAGGCAGTCAGCCATTACAGTCGCAGCAAGACCAGCAGAGCAGAGCTCAGTCAATTCTGTTTAAACAGCAATGTAATGTTGTCACCCTGCACAGTCCAAGTCATGGAGGTCTAACTCCATGCGGTCAGCCATTACAGGCACCACAAGCCCAGCAGAGTGGGGCCCATGCTGTGCAGAGCGGAACCCATACAGTCCATGCAGCTCAGGAATGTAAGGTTGTCACCCGGCATGCTTCAAGTTCTGGAACTGTGTAAATCAAGGCAGTCAGTCATTGCAACAAAAGCAAGTCCAGCAGAGTAGAGCCCATGCCATACAGTGCAAAGTCCATGCCGTGCAGAGTGGTGATCACACAGTCCATATGGCTCAGGAAAGTGACACTGTCACCCAGCACACTACCAGCTCTGGAGTAGCAACAAAAGGCAGTCAGCCATTGCAAACAAAGCAAGCCCAGAAGAGTGGAGCCCATGCCGCACAGAGCCCAGCACAGGCCGCTCAGAGCGGGGGCCCATACAGTTCAGAGCGGAGTAGAGACACCTGTCACTCCCAGTACTCCGCGCAGATCTGCAAGGACTACGTTGGAGCAGAAAACTCTGAAGGAGAACTTACAGCAGTGTGTAATGGTGGGCAGTGGCCAGGAATGCTCATTACGCCCCAGGTCCCGGCAGAAGAAAGATGATGGAGCCAATAAGCCTCCACAGTCTGGCCCGGAGAGTCCTTCTACATCCAGCAGAGACCCTTCACCCAGTACCGCTGATGGGGATCAGAATTTCAAGCGTCCCGCGGATAGGAAGCAGAAAGTGTTAAAGTCACCTGTGCTGCGCCTGGCTGACAGGATTCCTGCTCTGGAGAAGAGAATGAAGACCTTGAGGAAAGCTAAGGCTTCGACCCAGAAAAGGATTGACTCCATCTACAGACTCAAGGCTGCCGACCCCGGGAATGAAGTCCTACATGACAGCGAGCTTAACGCCCTGGGCATTGAACTGGCCGGTATATCGAGGAACATTGATGCTGTTCTGGAAGAACTGGGACCAGGGGGGGAGGTGTATCGGGATTGCGATTGGGTTGGGGCACAATTAAGTGTAAAGATGGAGTCTTCTTCAGAGTCAGACTCCGGGGAACTGATCCAAGGCACGCTACCAGCAAATGTGCTCCCTGAAAGACAGACTCCAGCTCTGGAGGACAGCGGTAGCGTCAGCTTCACCCAGCAGACTTTCATAGTGCAGGAAACTCAGAGAAGCGACATGGACTCCCAGCACATGGACTATGAGGACGGTGTTGCTACCCCCGGTTCTCATGGTGGGACCAATGCTGAGGGGACTGTGTTCGGGATGGGGTAGTTGATAATTATGCAGATGAAGCTGCTGATGCTAGTGGTGATATGGCCAGTGCGGATATCACTAATATTGATGTAGTGGTTCCTGATGTCATTAACACTGAGGTAGGTATGTCTGGATGGGGTCAGGACCAGTCTGAGGACCCTGTGAATGTGGCGATGGAGGAGTCAGTTCAGGATAACACCCGTGATTTCCCCCCTTTGGTTGAGTCGCCACCTGCATCACAAGGGAACAGTGGTCCATCTGGCCATGTCCCTCCTCGGAATGCCTGGAGCCGTGGGGCTCCTTCTTTTTCCAACAATACCGGTTATACTGGTCAGGCCTTCAAGAGGAGGAACGTGGTCAGGTTGAAGCATAGGGGTTCCAGAGAAGAGCTCCCTGATAGGAGGTTTGTAGTTAGGGAGTTGCTGTGTCAGCAGATGGGGTTTGTGCCCGCAGATATTTTGGCAGTCATCAACCTCCCTGACAGACGGGGGTATGATGTCAGCTTCAAGCTCATGTCTGGCTTGGACAGGTTCTGGGCCGGCTTTAGTGGGTTTCGGGATAAAGAGGGGTGGAAGATTTTCACCTTCATCCCCATCTCCAAACCTGACACAGCAAACGTTAACATCATTTTCTGGAATGAGTCTGTGCCCCCCCAGGATATTGTAGTCTGGCTCAGAAGGCATTGTGAGATGGTCTCTGATCTGACCAAAACTAGGGACAGTGATGGGATCTGGACTGGAGGTTGGAGGGTTCTTGTCAAGCTGAGGCAGAGTAACAATGTCACCCATCACCTTCCAAACTCCTTTTTCATTGGGCGGGAGAGGGGAGTTTGCTTCTATGCAGGTCAGCCCAGGCTATGTTTCAAATGCGGTAGGTCGGGTCATGTGGCGAGTGTCTGCTCTATCATGAAGTGTAATCTGTGTGGGGAGGTCGGCCATGTCAGTTCTACCTGTGAGAACATCAAGTGCAATCTATGTGGTAGGCTTGGCCATTTACACAGAGATTGCCCGGTGGCTTTCCACAATAGGGATGAGGAATCAGTGGATGAGGAATTTCTGGTGGCAGCAGAACACCTGGAGGAGGAAGCCTTAATGAATGGGGTCATATCAACTGAGGGGGAGGTAAACCCAGAAGTCCAAGGGGCCAGCCTCGGGCAGGAGGGCAGTGTTCAGCAGACTGAGGAGCAGCGGCCATCTGTGGCCATCCCATCCATTTCAGTTCCTGCCTCTGTGGAGAACATTCCCAGGCAGAAGAGAAGGAATAGGAAGGACAAGGCCACCCGTAAACCTGAAAGTGAATGGACCCGAGTGCAGAAATCCGTTAAGAAAGTGAGAAGGGCGCCAGAAGGTAGTATGGCAGTCGGCAACCAGTATGATGTCCTCTCAGAGTCAGATGCCAACTCCTGTGATCTAGAGGACCAAATGGAGGAAGAAGTAGAAGGGAATCTGCAGCTAGTTCAGGGGAGGACCCACCCACTAAGAAGCGCCCGCCCCCGGCTCCCGTATTTGTAGAATCCGATATGGAAACTGGTAGTCGGCGGAGTGACTCGGATTCCGATTTATAAAAAGAGTTTAGAGCCGAAAGGAATATAAAATGGGAGGAATTTATTTACAGCATCAAATTCTATGCAGAACTTTCATTAGTTTAATTTGTCGACTTTCTGTCGTGAAGATGTAGGCAGTTGTTACATTGTTGGTTTGTGTGTTTTTTATGATGATGGTTACAGTTTTGTTACCTTGTAATTTGTTTGTTTATACAAATAAAAATATCCATACATACAGAATGAGGCCCGATACTCAGAATTCCACCCGGCATCCAGGACAGAAGTGGGACTGTGCACAGTCCATACATACAGAATAGGAACAGATACCGAGAATTACACCCAGCATCCAGGACAGGAGAAGTGGGACTGTGCCGAGTTCATTCATACAGAATAGGAACAGATACTGAGAATTACACCCGGCATCCAGGACAGGAGAAGTGGGACTGTGTAGAGTTCATACATACAGAATAGGATCAGATACTGATATCTACACCCGGCATCCAGGACAGGAGAAGTGGGACTGTGCAGAGTCCATACATACAGAATAGGAACAGATACCGAGAATTACACCCGGCATCCAGGACAGGAGAAGTGGGACTGTGCAGGGTCCATACATACAGAATAGGAAAACAGATACTGAGATCTACACCCGGCATCCAGGGCAGGAGAAGTGGGACTGTGCAGGGTCCATACATACAGAAAAGAATTGTGTATAGTTCAGATAGAAATGTGAATTGTTTGGATTCCGGCACATGTGAGTCACACTCCATTGACAGACATTTAGCAGCTTCTTTGGATCTGGCAGACAACGGAATCAGATTTTCTTTTTCAAGTTTATAAAACAAATTTTTTTCTCCATAATAAAATTGTTTTGTTAGTGAATTCCATGTCAGGTCAGACGGCTGAAATCTTCTGTTTGACTTCCATACTTAAATATTTTCATTCCCCTCTCGGAGTTCAGCACAGTCGGAGCCTTTCCTCGATGTGACAGATAATACCGTCTCTGGTATCAGAATCTCAGATTAAATCGGTTTCACTGTAAATTGTCTGTTTCCCCGCTGTTCGCTGTCCTCATAGAGGTTGGGGGGCCCAGAGATCCCCAGCAATATATTTTTGTACATGACATGTATGTAGCTCTGGGGTAAATCCACCCACATCACACAACTGTCATAAAAGGAAAACACTCTGGGCTGATCCCATGATTGGTGGGTGTAGAAGACTAGGAAGGACCACGCGGCACATCTGATTATGGCGCATTGCATTTCACATACACTAGTCATTTTTTTGGAAGCTGTGGGGTTGGGGGGGGGGGGGGGGGTAGTGGAAGGGAGAAGGAGAAGAAAAAGAAATTGTTGAAAAATAAAAACTATTTTTATCAAAGAAATGTAGCAGAATACATTTTGGCCTAACTATATGGAGAAATATGTTTTTTATATGTAAAATGTTATAAAAGAAATTAATTTTTTTTTAATTTTTCAGTATTTTTTCCTTCTATATGCTAAAACAAATAAAAAAAAAAAACATTGTCATTAAGGACCAGGCCTTTTTCTGGCATTTTTTGTTTACAAGTAAAAATCAGTATTTTCTGCTAGAAAATTACTTAGAACCCCCAAACATTATATATACAGTGTGTGTGTGTGTGTGTATATATATATATATGTATATTTTATTATTTTCATGTACTTATATAGCGCTGTCAATTTACACAGCACTTTACATATATATTGTACATTCACATCAGTCCCTAACCCTCAAGGGGTGTACAATCTAAGGTCCCTAACCCTCAAGGGGCGTACAATCTAAGGTCCCTAACCCTCAAGGGGTGTACAATCTAAGGTCCCTAACCCTCAAGGGGCGTACAATCTAAGGTCCCTAACCCTCAGGGGCGTACAATCCAAGGTCCCTAACCCTCAAGGGGCGTACAATCCAAGGTCCCTAACCCTCAAGGGGCGTACAATCCAAGGTCCCTAACCCTCAAGGGGCGTACAATCCTAAGGTCCCTAACCCTCAAGGGGCGTACAATCTAAGGTCCCTAACCCTCAAGGGGCGTACAATCAAGGTCCCTAACCCTCAAGGGGTGTACAATCTAAGGTCCCTAACCCTCAAGGGGCATACAATCTAAGGTCCCTAACCCTCAAGGGGCGTACAATCTAAGGTCCCTAACCCTCAAGGGGTGTACAATCTAAGGTCCCTAACCCTCAAGGGGCGTACAATCAAGGTCCCTAACCCTCAAGGGGTGTACAATCTAAGGTCCCTAACCCCAACCAATCTAAGGTCCCTAACCCTCAAGGGGCGTACAATCTAAGGTCCCTAACCCTCAAGGGGTGTACAATCTAAGGTCCCTAACCCTCAAGGGGCGTACAATCTAAGGTCCCTAACCCTCAAGGGCGTACAATCCAAGGCCCAACCCTCTATGTACAATCTAAGGTCCATAACCCTCAAGGGGCGTACAATCTAAGGTCCCTAACCCTCAAGGGGCGTACAATCTAAGGTCCTTAACTCACATTCATACATACACATACTAGGGCCAATTTAGACAGGATCCAATCAACCTACCAGCATGTCTTTGGAGTGTTGGAGGAAACCGGAGTACCCAGAGGAAACCCACGCAGGCACAGGGAGAACATGCAAACTCCAGGCAGGTGGTGCCGTGGCTGGGATATATAAATAAATATATATATATATATATATATATATATATATATTAGCAGGGGCCCCATAAAATGGCATTCATTGCAATTTTTTATGTCACATAGTATTTGCGCAGCTGTTTTTCAAATACAGTTTTTTTTTAAAAATATACTCTAATTAATTAAAAAAAAAAAAAAAAACACAATATATACCTAAATTTTTTGCAAAATATGAAAGATGATGCTATACCGAATAAATAAATGCCTAACGTCATGCTTCAAAATTGCGCACGCTTGTGGAATGGCGCCAAACTACTGTACTTAAAAATTTCCATAGGTGACGATTAAAGCTTTTTCGTACAAGTTGCCAGTTTAGCACTACAGAGGCGGTCTAGTGCTAGAATTGCTGCTCTTGCTCTGAGGTTCATGGCAATACTGTATGGTGCAAATACCATTTACTTGTGTGGTGTGACCTATGTATGCATTCACCACTGTGCAGGGGCGGACTGACAACTCATGGGGCCCCCGGGCAATAGGGGATCATGGGGCCCCTGTGTCCTTGCCAAAACTCAAAAAAGCCTATGAAAAAGGTACCAGGGGCATCTCATGGGGCCCCCTACTGACCCCGAGCCCTCGGGCAGTGCTCGAGTTTCCAAATGGTCAGTCCGCCCCTGCCACTGTGCTAAAGCACGGGGGAGATGGGAGCACTTTCAAATCTTTTTTTTTTTCAATATTAATGTTATTACTTTTTTATTTTTACACTGTACCTTTACTTTTTTTAGCACTTTTATTGCTATCTCAAGAAATGTAAAACATCCCTTGAAATAACAATACAGCATGACAGGTCCTCTTTATGGAGAGATCTGGGGTCTAAGACCCCAGATCTCTCCTCTACAATGAAAGGCATTAAAGAAAAAAAATGGCCTTGTTTACATTGGGCTGGAATTGGAAGTGACGTCATCATGTCGCTCCGGACCTCCTAGGACATAGAGATGAGTGGTGACCATCTTTCCTCTGCTCATCTCTGTGACCAGCCGCCGCCAGCATCGGGTCGGTTCCTGGGTTCAGCAATCATCTGGGTGAGCCCGGGAACCAGCAGAAGGAGGAGAGCGACCCCTCATTCTGCTTCTAAAAGTGATCCGGTGGAGAATCCGCCACTTGGATTACTTTTACTAGAAAGATTGGCGCCTGAGTGAAATTTCAATATCGGAGTTATGGCATCTAGTTGCAGCCATAGCCATGGTATTAACCATCAACATCATGACGTATTTTCCCAGTTAGCCGCTCAGCAAGTCGTTTTAAATACCACCAAAAGAAATCTCTATCTAGCTCAAAAAAAGATGAAAATTTAATTTGGGTACAGTGTTGCATGACTGAGTAATTGTCATTCAAAGTGTGACAGCGGTGAAATCTGAAAACTGTCCTGGACAGGAAGGGGGGGTGAAAGTGGTTGGCATTAAAGTGGTTAGGAACCAATAACATCATTGGTCCCATCTGCTTACATGGCCAATGAGTTAGCAGCTTTCTGTAGCACTGTATTCACAGAATATTATGTGTGGCCCTTTGGTTATGTCAGGCGCTGCATTTAGGGCCCCTATATCAACTGAATTGAATACCACTGCTCAATTTGTTCCAAAACTTAAAAAGCACTTAAAGTGTTATTAAACCCCAGACCCCGCATTCACTATATCCTCTCTCCCCGGACCCCTACATTCACTATATCCGCTCTCCCCGGACCCTGCATTCACTATATATCCTCTCTCCCCGGACCCTGCATTCACTATATCTGCTCTCTCCCCGGACCCTGCATTCACTGTATCCGCTCTCCCCGGACCCTGCATTCACTATATCCGCTCTCTCTGCATTCACTATATCCCGCTCTCCCCGGACCCCGCATTCACTATATCTGGTCTCCCCGAACTCTGCATTCACTATATCTGGTCTCCCTGCATTCACTATATCCGGTCTCCCCGGACCCTGCATTCACTATATCCGCTCTCCCCGGACCCTGCATTCACTATATCCGCTCTCCCCGGACCCTGCATTCACTATATCTGGTCTCCCACAGTACACAGAACAGGGAAATGCAATTATTTTAGTAAATATAAACGGCTAAATACCTTTTTTTTCATCAGCAGTATATAGCAGTCTTGTGACTTCTATCAGTGTTCAGCAGAGCACTGGTTAGAGCCTGTAGGAGGAGTTTTCAGTCTCCTCTGACTGTCCTATGAGGCTGCGTGACCCCTGACCCTCTGTCCGGAAAGTGCTGACTGGCAATGTGCTGATCACATGCCCCCTCCAAAGAGGAAAAAAAACTCTAGCAATACACACTAAACTG